AACTGGAGGTCAAAGTTGTCATCAAGTCCAACTTTAAACCTTCCTTGCTGGCCCAGAAAATTGAGGTGCGGGAAGGGGGCTGGCAAGGAGTTGGGGAGGGGGGAGCACTTGTGCCAACTTGGGACTGTCAGTGATGGGCTCATGAATTTTAGGTCCGGATCCCAACACCGCTGAACACAAGTGGGGTTCAGGTGATCTGCATGAAGGGAAAAGCCAAGTACAAGGCCAGTGAAAACGCCATTGTGTGGAAGTGAGTGGGGTGGGGGAGACCTGGGGGCTGATACACATAGGCCCCTTCGCACTCCCCTTGGACCCAGCATGAGAGGCCTCCCCCTGTTCCCCTCGTCTTGTCTCATCCCAGCGGTGCCTTAAAGTTCTAGCTTGTATAATTACCAAGCATTTGGGCATTCAGCTGTAGATGTCTCTGTAAGGTAAACAGAGCAGGTGACACTATGCCTCTTTGACAGATAAGGCAGTTGGGGCCCCAAGAGATCAGTGTGGAAATCCCCAAAAGCTCGGCCCCCAGTCTGGAGCATCCTTCCAGCCCTCCTCGTCTCCCTTGCTGCCTAGTTCACTTCACCTCCGGCCCCCTGAAGGCCTTTCCAGTGTGTAGGGTCAAAGCAGCCGCCCTTGCCTCTGTGCCCTTAGGATCAAGCGCATGGCAGGAATGAAGGAATCACAGATCAGTGCGGAGATTGAGCTGCTTCCAACCAATGACAAGAAGAAGTGGGCCCGGCCTCCCATCTCCATGAACTTTGAGGTGAGATCCTTAGGAAGCTGCTGGCTCTGGCGCAGAGGTGAGGAGCCCGTGGCCGCTAGGTCCTCAAGTACAGCTGGTAAACTGAAACCCCCTTCATAAAAGGATTGGTTCTATAAAACTTGGACTCAGTCAAAAGGCCGCGCCCAGGACCTAGAAGGCTGCAGAAGCCTAGAAGGATCACAGGTGGCGGATCTCAAGAGGCCTCCTTATCCAGCCCAGCTTGGAGAGGGGAGGAAATGGAGGCCCAAGCTAAAGCCAGTTTTAGTAGAACCAGGACAGGACAGGGACAAGACAGCCCCCAGAAGGCCACATTCTTTAATGCTAGTGTTTCACAAAGTAATACATTGATAGAGCCCACATGTGGTGGTCTGGGCAGGGATTAGAATACTGCAAGAATATGCAGAGGGTAGGAGAAATTGGGGAGCAAAACAAAAATTTAAGTCTAATTTTCATACTGAAAAAATCATCCCACACAATGAAGATTTTTGTTACATCACTTCGTTTTAATATTCTTGGAAAGAAATGTGCTCCCCCCACCGGGGTTGTGTGCACAGGCAGCCCTGAGCTGCCACTCCTCTGGCTGGCCATTTCAGACTCCCATTGCCAGTTGCCACTCAGGTTGGGATTTTCCTGACTTCTGTCTGCTCGTGAACTTTGGAAAAGTATAATTTAGGTCATCCTTGAACCTCGCAGCTAGGCTCTGTGGAAAAAAAGCAGTGGGTGATAATACTTTCTGTCTTGGTGCCTGAAATCTTTGCTAAGCCCACCCTGCACTTCTCCACAAACATTTACCCACTCTGCTCCAAATCTGTGTCCGTCTTCTCACTGCTTGCACACAGATAGACCCCTAGTCCATGCTCTCAAAGAATCTACATTCTGCTGGAGTAGTAGAGGAGCACGGTTTGGTAGAATCAGAAGGTGGGAGGTCTTTAACAAATGGAAACATCAAGAAAGGCCTCCTGGAGGAGGTGGCCCTGGGGCTGAGCCTTGAAGGCAGAGCAATGCAGGCCTCAGGCAGTGGGGCTGCCTGTGCAGGGAGGAAGGGCTGCCTGTCTTTCTCTGGGGAGTGCTGGGCTGGCGAGGGAGGTACCCTGACCTTGTCCTTGCTCTCCAGGTACCATTTGCACCCTCTGGCCTGAAGGTGCGATACCTAAAGGTGTTTGAACCCAAGCTGAACTACAGCGACCATGACGTCATCAAATGGGTGCGCTACATTGGCCGCAGTGGCATCTACGAAACCCGCTGCTAGCTGCCCAGCCATGGTCTCACAAAATCTCCACCAACCTGGGTGCCCCCTGGGGAGGAGCCAGGCTGGGCTGCCTGGCCCAACTCTTCCCTGTTGGTGTCTCCTCCTTCCTGCATCGCTGCACACCCCCTGCACAAGCCCCTAGACTAGGTCTGGACCGACCCCACTATGAAGGGGATGAACGGAGTGACGCGCCCCCCCCCCCCGGGGCCCCTGAAGTCCCCCAACCCTTCTTTTGTCCGTCCCAGCCCAGCTCTGGGCTCTGTTTGAGTTTTGTGACCAAAGCCAGGCCAGGGTCTCTTGGGTGGCCACGTCTCTGACCCTCTCCCAGGGGTGGGGGGGTGGGGCCCGGGCTGCCAGAGCCCCCCAGCCTCTGCACCTCCCTGAAAGGCCAGTAACTGCCTCCCGCCCCCTCCTTCCCCCCTCAGCCTCCTGCTTCTGGATAGTGTGAGCTCCATTTTGTACACGTGTGACTTTGTCCAGTTATCAACCCAATAAATTCTGTAGAGCGGAGACTCTGAGCCCATTGTATGGGAACTGGGGAGAAAGTTGGGTCAGGCTTCTTGGGGAGGTTCACAGAGTAGCCTTCTCCTATAAACAGTGGTAGGAACCTTCTCTGTGACCTAGACATGAAGATGCCCTGACTTAGCCCCATCTGTCTCATGTGACAGCTTCCTGGCCCTGGGCCCAGAGGGCAAAGGCCAGAACTGTGTCTAACGAGACTGGCCTCTTGCCTCGTGTATGGGGCGCAGAAGACGAGAGGGGCCCCCTTCCGGAGAGCCCGCGGGTGCGGAGTAGCGCTGGCCTCGCCTGCCCCTGGAGGAGGGTTCCCGGCTAGGGAGGCCATTGGCTACAGAGGGGAGCTTCTGGAGGACGTGGGACCGTCACAAATCTGGGGGGTGAGATAGGACCCGGAGGGGTGTCCAATTTCTGCCCCTCCCTGGGGCAGCCGGTGTAGCCCTCCCTGCGGGGCCGGGGGCGGGGGCAAGGAGGAAGTGGCGCCGTGGCCTGGAGAAGAGTGAGAGGGCAGCCCCGGGGGCTTTATATTTTTAGCTCCAGCTTGAACTCCACGTCCCAGCATCCCTCCAGGCCCCGCTCTCCTCGGCGCGTCCGGTTCTAGTGCCGACCCAGGTGTTCCCCCTTGCTTTGTTCTTAGCCAGTACTGTGCATCTCTCCCTCTTGGCTCCTCCGTGAGAGGGGCCGGCCTGGAGTACCCCCTGCCCCTTTAAGGAGCCCCTGACGTTCGGCCACCTGCCGGGTCAGTCCCTCCCCTCCAGAACTACAAATCCCAAGAGGCATCTGCGTGGTTCACGTGGTTCATCTGCCGGGCTAAGGGAGACATGGCTGCGCGGAGGATACTGGGACGGGAGGAAGGGTTCCCTCAGCTGACTTCATCCCGCCCCTTAACCCCAGCGGGGCCTTACGCCGCTGCTGGCGCCTGCGCGCTAGGACTCGGAGAGAGCGAAGGTGGAGGGGTTTGTGGCCAAGAGCACACCAGGGCTGGAGGTGTAGATCAGCTGAGCTCAGTAAAGCGAGGGCGGGGCCGTGGCCTGCTCGCGCTGATCTTGCCTTGGCGCCTGCGAGTGACGTTCGGGGAGGGACGTCGAAGAGCCGGAAGGGGCGTGGCATAGTGAGGCGTCGTGTCAGCGACCGTACGGCGCCTGCGCGCGTGTTCTGCGCTCTGCGAGTGGCGTTGAAAAATCGGAAGAGGTGGGACGGAAACTACATGTTGGCGGCCGCACGGCGCCTGCGCATAAGGATACCCGCTAGGCTGGGAAGAGTCGACGGGCGCGTCCTGTGGGTCGGCGTCCATTCTGGACCTTCACGGCGCCTGCGCGGAAGCGGCGCTGAAGTGGGGGCGGGGCGGGGTGTGTCAGTGGCTGCGCGTCGGCGTCCTCAGAGCGCCTGCGCAGAGCCGGGCCCGGCTGGAATATGGCGACGTGCGCCGACATCCTGAGGAGTGAGTTCCCCGAAATCGATGGACAGGTGTTTGACTACGTGACAGGTGAGCGGGGTCCGGGCGGGGGGGTGGAGGTGGGGGGGGGCGCCCGCCCGGCCGCCCGCCTGACCCCGGGCCCCTCCGTTCGCAGGCGTCCTACACAGCGGCAGGGCCGACTTCGAGTCCGTGGACGACCTGGTGGAGGCCGTGGGGGAGCTGCTGCAGGAGGTGTCCGGGGACAGCAAGGATGGCGCGGGCATCCGGGCCGTGTGCCAGCGCATGTTCAACACGCTGCGCCTGTGCGTACCGGGAGCGGGGAGCGGGGAGGGAGACTGAGGCACGGAGGGAGGGGGGAGGGGCACCGGGGAGGGGAGAGACTGAGGCACGGGGGGGGTGGGGGCCGGGGCTCCCCCCACACCTTGTAGGGGAGGAAGGGGAAGAGCTGGTTAGGGACACCCACCCTTCCTGTTACAGAGCAGGAGGAGGAGGCTGGAGACTTCTTCCCCTTCTCATGCAGGGAGACATCCCCATTCTGTTACACGGGGAAACCAGAGATATACCCCCCCTTCCCCTTATACAGAGGTGAGGGAGACAGTCCTGAGGGAACGGGGCCTGGAGATCCCCTCCCTTCCCCGTTCTGATCCAGGACGCAGATAACCTTTGGTGGGGGGACCAGAGACTCCCCTCTCTATACAGTAGGGGAGACTGAACCTCCAGGAGGGGGAGAGGTGCTGGACGCTAGGGTCCGCTCCTCCTCTGCAGGGTGGGCCCCTGGGAGGGGAGATTGATGTGCCCAAGATCAGAGACTTAGGACAGGGAGGTCATTTGGTTCATCTTTACAGATGAGGCAACTGAATTCCAAGGAGGGAGCCGTAGCTTAGAAATCCTTTAGTCTTCGATCACTCCCACCCCCTATTCTGCAGCTCAGGAAATGGAGCTGGAGGAAAGGTAGCAACTGAGGTCTGAAGATTTAGACGGAGGGAAGGAGCTTGACAAGCTGGTCTGTTGATAACTTCACTCTCCATTTGACTGAACCCCAGGGAGGAGAAAAAGACATGGAAAGTCAGAGGCAGGGAGCTTAGAGAACATTTGGTCCATGTGCACTCCAACCACCCCGTTATATGGCTAGAGACGTTGAAGTCCGGAGAGTGGGGAGGTAACATATCTTTTTCCTATTTATATTCTCAGCTATGTGCCTGGCACATAGGAGCTTAATAAATGTTTATTGGATTTAAGCCTGGAAGGGAGCTAGGACAGTCTGCTCTTAGAGAAATTCAGACCCAGAGATCATCTAGTTTTCATTCCCCCTCCTCCCCTTTCACAGGCCCAGAGAGGAGAAGTAACATTTAGACCGTAGGGTTTTTAGCACTAGAAAGGAGCTGGTCAGCCAGTCTAGTCAAATTCCCTCATTTCAAACATGGGTAAATCGAGGCTCAGAAGTCCAGGAGACTAGCTCATGGCCACACAGGTAGTAAATGGCAAAAGTGGGATGTGGGCCTGGGTTCTTTGCCTCCAAATCTGTGGCTTTGTCACTTGAAGTGACCCTTTTTCCTTCAAGTACCTCCTGTAGGAATACACCCCCCCCCACGAAAGAGCACTTGAAATCTTGCCTTTGCCCAGATAGAACCTTCCCCTATATCCTTTTTCTTTTTTTTTAAATTAGTTTAGTTTGATTTAATATATTTTCACATTAGTGATTTTGTAAGTAAGAATTAGAACCAATAGCAGGAGCCACCAGAAAGAGGAAACAAAATACAACAGAAGAAAAAGAAAATAGCAGATAGTGTGCTTCAATCTGCTTCAAACTCCATAGTTCTTTCTTTGGATATGGATAGCATTTTCCATCATGAGGCCTTTGGAGATGTCTTAGGTCCTTGTATTGCTGAGAAGGGTTAAGTCTATCAATATTAGTACCTAACTGATTATGTTATTTCCTTCTTGAGCCAGATCTGATGAGAGTAAGGTTCAAACTGTGTTCATCTCCCTCGTCTTTCCCTCTTCTGTAATAGGTTTTTGTGCCTTTTTCCATGATGTAATTTACCCTTGTCTGCCTCCTTTCTTTTTCTCTCAGTACATTTTCTTAGATCAGATTAATCCACTTATTTGGGTCTATTTAATCCACTTGATTAGACTTTTTTTTTATCATTACATCAAAGTCAACTCATTCCCGCTTCCTTTATGTATACCCCTTTAACGTTGTATAATAGTGATGCAGTTCATAAGGGTTACAAGTGTCCTCTTCCCTTGTAGGGACGTAAAGAGTTTGCCCTTATTAATAACATGTTGTTTCTTTCTGTCCCGTTTACCTTTTTATGTCTCTCTTGAGTCTTATATTTGAAGATCAGATTTTCTGTTGAGCTCTGGTCTTTTTATCAGGAAAGTTTAGAAATCCCCTATTTTGTTGAATATCCATCTCCTTCCCTGAAAGATCATGCTCATTTTCGCTGGGTATACGCCCCTTTTCTATTACAGCCTAAGTTACTTGTAGGTAATTTCTTGTTTCTTCATTTTTGCAATCCTAGTGCCTCGTGCCTGACAGCTTCTTAATAAATCTTAGTAGCTGTTCATAGGCCAGTAAGGCCTTAGAAAGCATGCTCCTTCATCAGAGCCAATCAAACAACCGTGCCATGGCTGCTGGGTATGAGGGCAAGATCCAGCAGCATTGGCCATCTGGTGCCAATTACACATCTCTTTCCTTCTCCACAGGGCAGAACCACAGAGCCAAGGACATAGCCAGGTGTTACTGGATGCCCCCATCCAGTTGTCTAAGATGACCGAAAGTTATGGTGAGTGCAGGGAGTGTCTTGAACCCAGCTCTTTCCTTCCTCAGAGCCTTAGTCAATCCTGTGCATTGTTCATATTCTTTGCCAATCTAAAAACCTTACCTGTGTTTGGGGAGCCAGCTCTCTGCCTGCACCCAGTCTGTTCTGTGGGGCGTGATCGTTTCTGCTGTCCTCAGTGCTCTTTTCTGTCTAGTTCTGCTCCCTCCAATATAACCTTTCTGTCTCCCTTGAAGGTAATTGATGTCTCCCTGGGGGCTGGAGGGGGTCAGGATAGGTTAGGGTCAGCAACGTGGTAGTTAGACACTTTTAAGTGTGAGACCTTATTTCTTTTCTGCCTCATTTCTAGGTTATGGCGATAAGGTTCCAGGACTGATAAAGAGGGACCAGTCTTCGGTGAGGAGGGCAGAAAGTGGCGGAGGATGGTTTTTGTCTCTTCAGGGGTGTGAGGACGACCTCTGTCCCCCAGAGAAGCACTAGGGAACCTCTCTGGGCCCCACTGTGTGTTGCTCATACTGGTGTGAAGCTTCATCTGAGGGGTGCCCCGGGTTCCCTTGCTCCAGTGGGCACCTGGAGGCGTGACCAAGTTTGTGTCTCTCGGCCACAGACGGTGAACGCTAAGAAGCTGGAGAAGGCAGAAGCTCGGCTCAAGGCCAAGCAGGAGAAGCGCACCGAGAAGGACACGCTCAGGACAGCTGGTCCTCCGTAAGCTCGGAGATGGCAGTGGGCTGGCCGATGGGGCGAAGCAGTCGGGGGACTGTGAGTGACTTCTGTTCCACCCTTGCAGAGTTTTGGAGGAGGCTTCGGCCAGCCAGGCAGGGAGCAAGAAGGAGAGCCGGCTGGCGTCGTCGGGCAAGAACAAGTCCTATGACGTGCGGATCGAGAACTTTGATGTCTCTTTTGGCGAGCGGTGAGGGGCTCGTGTTGGACGGCTGGGACCGGGGGGCAAATGCAGGGCCCTCTCTTCAGGCTCGGCCCATTTCCCCCTTCCTCCTGGTCTTTGAGGGTCCTCGTCTCCACTCCTCCGCCAGGGTTCTGTTGACGGGCGCAGATGTGAACCTAGCATGGGGCCGTCGCTATGGACTAGTTGGACGGAACGGGCTGGGCAAGACGACGTTGCTGAAGATGCTGGCGACGCGGAGTCTTCGGATCCCGGCTCACATCTCCCTCCTACACGTGGAGCAGGAGGTGGCGGGGGACGACACCGTGGCCCTGCAGAGCGTGCTGGAGAGTGACGCCTTCCGAGAAGGGCTGCTGCAGCAAGAGCGCAAGCTCAGCGCCCAGATCGCGGCAGGCCGGTGAGCATCTGCGGCACCCCCCGGCGGAGGCAGAGTCTCCCCAGAGTCTCGACCCCACCCCCACCCCCACCCCTGGAGGCAGCAAGCTGCCCAGCAAACAGCCCCATGGCATGTGGAGGAGGGGCCCATGGGTTCCATCTACTCCCGACTAATTGCCTCTTCCCCCCAGAGCGGAGGGCCCAGAGGCTGCACAGCTTGCTGAGATCTATGCCAAGCTCGAAGAGATCGAGGCCGACAAAGCCCCTGCCAGGTACTCTGCCCCCCCTTGCTGTGTGTTTTCTCCTCCTATTTCCCTATCCCCCTATGTCTCCTCTTTCAGGTGCCTTCTTTCTCCCTCTGTCCAGGGCATCCGTTATCCTCGCCGGACTTGGTTTCAATGTAAAGATGCAACAGCAGCCCACGAGGTGAGTGTCCCCCACCCTGCCAGCCCTTGGGGCCCCTCTTCCCGCTGGCTCTGCCTGTTGAGCATGGCCCACACCATCCTTGAGTCTGGGTGTCTCTCTTTCTCTGCAGGGAGTTCTCTGGTGGCTGGAGGATGCGGCTGGCCCTTGCTAGGGCCCTCTTTGCCCGGTGAGTCCACATTGCCTGGGAGGAGGGGGCGTGGGAAGGAAACAGGGCAGCTGAGGAGACTGTCATGATGTCCCTTCTCTTCTTTAGACCAGATCTGCTGCTGTTGGATGGTGAGTCCTTGGGAAGCCTTGGCATGAGAGGGGCAGGAGTGGCCCTGAGATTCCGACGGTTCAGACAGTGGGGGGCAGCCACGTGCCATGGGCTCTGCCTTCAACCACGTGGCTTCTTTCTTGTTCCTCTCAGAGCCTACCAACATGCTGGACGTACGGGCTATCTTGTGGCTGGAGAATTACCTGCAGGTGGGTGGGGCTGGGATGCAGATGGGTGTGGGGGGGTAAGGTTTCTGGTCTCATGCTTCTGGGGACACCCCTCCCCCCAACTCGTGCCCGCCTTCCACGTGACCCCTCAGACTTGGCCCTCAACGATCTTGGTTGTTTCCCACGACCGAAACTTCTTGAACGCGGTGGCCACAGATATCATCCACCTGCATAGCCAGCGGCTGGACAGCTACCGTGGGGACTTTGAGACCTTCGTCAAGAGCAAGCAGGAGCGGCTGAAGAGCCAACAGCGCGAATACGAAGCCCAGCAGCAGTACCGCCAGCACATCCAGGTGCGGGTGCGCGCTCGGTGGCATCCGGGACCCAGGGGGCCGTGGTGGCCGGAGCCTCACCCCTCTTGTTCTCCCCCCAGGTGTTTATTGACCGCTTTCGCTATAATGCCAACAGAGCGTCCCAGGTGCAGAGTAAACTCAAATTGCTAGAGAAACTGTGAGTAGTCTGGATTCCCCATTGAGCCCCGGGCCCATGCCTTATGACCTCTTCCACAGAGCCCCGCTCTTCCTCCCTCCACTGTGTCCCAAAGTCCCCCACTGAGCTGCCCCCTCTCTCTCTCCCTCAGGCCAGAACTGAAGCCTGTGGACAAGGAGGTAGAGGTGGTGATAAAGTAAGTGCCTCGTTCATGGTGTCTGGATCTGGAGGAGAGGCCAGCGGGGGCCTCATCACCTCACCTCACCTCATCTCACTCTAACAGGTTTCCTGATGGGTTTGAAAAGTTCTCACCCCCGGTTCTGCAGCTTGATGAAGTGGACTTCCACTACGACGCTCAGCACCCTATTTTCAGTCGTCTTTCTGTCTCAGCAGACCTCGAGTCTCGGATCTGTGTGGTATGAGTGCTGCTGCCCCCATTTCTGGCCTGGGCCCTCCCATCATTCTCCTCTCCTCCTCCACCCTCCAGCCACAGGCCCTCAGCCCCTTCCGACCCAGGAAGCCAAAGCTGCCTCATGGGCGTCAGCTCCATCATGAGAATCATGAAGGAAGGTGCTAGGTCTCGGGGCCCCATCCCCTACTGAGGGTTCTGTCTTGTAGGTGGGGGAGAATGGAGCAGGGAAGTCGACCATGCTGAAGCTGTTGATGGGAGACCTGGCACCCGTGCAGGGGATCAGACATGCCCACAGGTACCTAGACCTCCTCTGTGCCCACCGCAGGGGAAGGGCAGCATGCCTAGTATCCTCACTCCCCCCTTGCTGCTTCCCTGCAGAAACCTGAAGATCGGTTACTTCAGCCAGCACCACGTGGAGCAGCTTGACCTGAATGTCAGCGCTGTGGAGCTACTGGCTCGAAAGTTCCCTGGTGTGTGGGGGGGTTGGGGGTGGAGGATGAGGAGGAGGAAGGGTGGGTGCCTGAGAGGGGTCGAGCCAGGCCAGGGACCCGCATGACAGGCAGGGACGTGTTCTAGGGCGGCCCGAGGAGGAGTATCGCCACCAGTTGGGACGCTATGGCATCTCTGGGGAGCTGGCTGTCCGCCCTGTTGCTAGCCTGTCTGGAGGGCAGAAAAGCCGAGTGGCCTTTGCCCAGATGACCATGCCCTGGTGAGATAGCATTGCTGCAGACTCCTTTCTTTGCTTCCCCCTGTCTGTCCCCCGGCCTTCCGTTCCTGAGGCTGTTCACCTGTCCCCTCCTTTATACTTCCCCTGCCTGGAATGAAGGTGTCCTCACGGGGTGGGAGGAACCTCTTGGGGTTCTCTCTTGCAGCCCTAACTTCTACATCCTGGATGAACCAACCAACCATCTGGACATGGAAACGATCGAAGCCTTAGGCCGGGCCCTCAACAGTTTCAGGGTGAGGCCCAGTACCCCGCCCACCAGTGGACACCTTTGAATGCCTTTCCCATCTCCAGAGCTGCCACTGACCCTGCCACCGTCTTCTCATTCTCTGCAGGGGGGGGTGATCCTTGTATCCCACAATGAGCGCTTCATCCGCCTGGTCTGCCGGGAGCTGTGGGTGTGTGAAGGCGGTGGTGTCACCCGGATCGAAGGGGGCTTTGACCAGTATCGGGACCTTCTCCAGGAGCAGTTCCGGCGGGAGGGTTTCCTCTAGGACCTTCTGCTGGAAGGCCTGATCTGGGGCACAGACTGGCACCTGCAGGCTCCCCCAGCAGCAGACTTGCTTCTTAGGCCTGGGCCATGGACTTCCCTCAAACATGGGGACAGCCTTATTCCAACTTCTCTTCTCTACCCCTTGCCCTAGCCAAAGCTCCCTTCTCCATCCTAGGGGGCTCTGTGGAAGGGGCTCTGAGGATTGTTCTCCATGGGGTGGAGAAGACTCCTGGGGCTACAGCCCCCTCCCCTTTTCTCTGCCTAGGTCCAGTGTGGCCGACATGTAAATTAAACCTGCCCCCCGTCTGTCCCCCCAGACTTGTGTCTGCCCCCTAAGGTGGACTCCTATGTTTCTTGCCTTGAAAGGGAGCTGGGGCCCTGTGTAATGTCTGCTCTTAGGCTCTGGATTTTCCCAATGCCTTTGGCACAGATTAAGGCAACAGCAGTTGATGGATCCCAGCCCGTGCAGAGATTTCTGGAAGCAGAGTCACCGTAGGAGACTGTGGCCTCAGTGAACCCGGGCCTGGCAGCCACCTGGGCCTTGGCTGAGCTAGGAGGCATGGGCGAGTCCTCCCATTTTGGCCAGGACCTTCAGCTAGTGCTCTCCACTTACCCCTCTAGGTTCGCTGTCCATCCATTCACCCGCTCCCATTCCACCTGCATACTTTGAAGACCAGGGCCTCAGTTGCGGCCTCCCTGCGCTCTCATTGGATGGCCGGTTCTACCTCTACACCTGCCTTCGCCTAAGGGGAGGTGGACTGCTTGGGCCACCTTCAGCTTGAGTTGACAATCAGCCCTGGTCCTGTGGAGGCTTAGAAAGCAGAGGAGGCACCTTGGGAACGCCCTGAGCTGCAGCTGGGAGAGGGAGGGAAGGGAAGGGAGTGGTGGCTTTAGGAAGCTCAGAGTCGATGGAGGCGTCTGACCCAGTGTTTCTGCAGCCTGGGAGCTCTGGCCTATGCAGCCCGTGTCCAGGCGGGAGCCAGAGCCAAGCCAGACCTCCTTTTGGCCCTGTCTCCCTCGAGAGGAAGTGGAATCCTTTGTAGAATTTGGCTTCCATGAGCCCCTTGTTGCCCCTTTACCTGCTCCCCAAGCCCTTCCTGAACCTGCCACATGATTGGGTGACCTTTGGGCCTCCCCTCCCCTTGTGGCTTCAGAGCAGTTTGAACTCCTGGGCTCTGATGGGGACCTGATGCACACTGGGCATGTGCCTTTTGTCAAGGAGCTCCGTGGAGGGTGTCCTGCTAGTGGTTAATTATGGTCCACAAACCTGGTGACTGGCATGGCCACTTTAATAATTGGGCCTCGTTTTCATTCAACAAACCTGCCCTGCATGAGATCAGGTCAGACAGATGCCTGCCTGCCTTGGATGCCATGGATTGTGCGGCTCAAGTACAAGCAATGCTGAGCACTTTATGTGAGCTCTGGGCAAATGAAAAGCCAACAATGTAGCAGTCACTACAGGAGGAATTTCTGTTGGAGACAGTACATGTAGAAGGGTGTGCAATAGATACAAAGTAATTTGGGGAGGATGCTCAGGTGGGGAGAAATTGGGACAGGCTTCCTACAGGGGGTGGGGGTTTGAGTGGCACAGCCAAGTAAGGCAGAGATGAGGGAGGGTATGGCAGCTATGGGGATGGCCTGTGGAGGATAAAGGTGTGGAGTGGTGTTTGTGAGAAGCAGCCAGGCCAGGCTGGCTGGATCAGAGGGCAGGAAGGGAGCCATTTATTTAACATCCTTGAAGACCAGTTGTGAAGGGCTTTGAAAGCCTAGCAGAATTGAAGCTTGGTCCTAAGTACAGTGGAATCGGAGCTTATGTAACTGTAGTGGAATCGCAGCAGTCGGCTCCTTGTTTCAAGGTAGGTGAATCTGGTCATGCTGCTTAGTTTGAATTGGAGGTAGGGAGAACATCTAGTTTCCTTCAGGGATGTCTGAGGTGTGAAAGATCCAGAATCATTACTGGCCTGTTCTTGTTTTAATTCACCAAAACTGACCTCTGTTCTGAAGTTTCCTCAGATCAGCTTTTGTGGCCTGGGGATTCCTACGACCCTGCCAGGGAATTGGCGCAGTCAAAACTTTCCATACTTGTAGGACATTTTGCTGTCTAATTTGGTAAACCTCGATATACCACCCGACTAAAAGCTTTGGGGGATCCTCGCTTTTTAAGAGGGTCCTGAAACCAAACAAGGCTGAGAACCTCTGCCTCAAAGCATTGAGATTTCTCCTCTACCTTGGTCACATTCTACCTTTTGTTATAAACGTGAACTCCCAGGGGCAGCACTTTGGAAGGCAGAAGTCCTTGCTTTTTGTATTGGCACCCGAGTGACTTGATAATTGAATAGCAGTATGAAGGGTAAAGGAAAGACTTTGAAGGGGGAGATGAGAACGATAGTTAACATTTCTATAGCGCTTACTGTGCGCCAGGCAGTAGCTGGGTGCATGATCTCATTTGTGCCTCATGTCAGACTCCCACTTGGGAAACAGAGAAGCAGATTTAAAAGAAAGATAAATTCATTTTGGCCATGTTGAGCTTTGTGCTTAAATACTAAGGACAGTGTTCTTTATGCTGCAAAGGATAAGAGCAAAAATGACCAACAGAAAACAAATCCAAGATGGGGAAAGTGAGATATTAAGGGCACCTCAGTTCCTTCATGCGAGTTGTCGGAAGGCTCAGGTGAACTATTTTCTGGTGTGGTTGTGCTGCCATCTCAACGGATACACCCTTCCATGTATCCTGTGCCGTTTTAGTCCATTGCCAGTCATAAGGCCTTTGTGTGGAAGGCATTGTGCTAGGCTCTGGGAATCCAAAGAGAAGACATGGCAGAGTCTCTTGCTAAGGACTCAGCTTAAATAACCCCGAGGAGGGAAAGAGTATTAACAAGACTAGGGAAAGCTTTGTGGAGAAAGTGGCATGTAAGTGTAACCTTGAATACAGATAAATACTCTGGAATGGGACAGCTTGCATAAATAATGGAGGCAGACTGTCTAATTTAAGGACCAGGTGGTAGGCAAATTTCAACGGAATGAGGAAAAGTGTTAGAACAATGTAAAATAAGGCTAAGGAGGTAGGAGCCAGATTGCAAAAGGCCATTAAATGTCAGAATGAAAAGTTTACATTTTAACACGGAATAGGAAATCGCTGAGGATTTTTAAGCAGGGGAGGGAGTAGCAAGCCTGTGTTCTAGGGAGATTTGGGCAGCTGGGTGGGAAAGCAGAGAGGAAAGTGGGGAAACCAGTTAGAACCAGGCAAACATTTTGAGGGTTTGAATGATGATGGTGGTCAGGGATGTGGTGGCAGGATCTGTAGGACCTGGCAATGACTGGATATAAGGAGTGAGAAAGAGTAAAGGTCATGAAGCTGGCTTACTGGAAAGATAATGGTGGCTTCAGTGGAAATTGGAAAGCTTGCTGGTGGGGTGGGTTTAGAAGGAAAGATTTTGAACATGTTAAGCTTGGCATGGTGACAGAGTATCTTTAATGTAGACCAGGAGAGAAGTTGGGGCTGCATGTGGGAGTCATTTGCATAGAGATCATGATTGACCCCACAGGAGTCAAGATGATCACTAAAGAAGAGGGCCCACGACAGAACCTTGAAATAGAACAGCACTCAGAAGGGAGGAGAAGGTTGATGAGCCAGAAAGTGAGACTTAGGTAGGAGGAAAACGTGGACAGTAATGTCATAGAAGAAGGCAATGGGACAGAGAATCCAGGGAAAGGGTGATAGTCCTAGCAAAAGTTTCACAAAGGTGAAGGAGGATGAGGATTGAGAAAAGGTATCTGGAATTAGCAACTGAGAGATCATTGGTGGGAACATCCTGGGAACAATACAGAGTTGGTGTCAGAGTAATGAAGATCTGGGTTCAGGCCCTGCCTCTTCCACGTAACTGGATTGTGACCCTGGAAAAGCCCTTTAACCTCTCTCAGGACCCCTAGATAACTGTAAGATGAGAGCCAAGATGATTAACAGTGAAATAGGTCATGAAGGAGGGATTGGTTTGAGGTGCTGAGACATTAACAAAGGAAACGTGCACTTTGTTTATGTAACCTATGGCTCCATTTTCGCACAGACCAGATCCAACCTTAGTGGGCTGGGGGCTGACATCTTAAAAGGTTATATTCTCTTGGGCACATTATTTTACTCTGAAATCTCCAAATATAATTGTGTCTGTTTTGACAAATACGGGTGATAAGATCACCAACTCCCATATAAAGCATTCAAAGAAACATACATATTGGGAAGAGGACAGCCTGTTTCCCGTCATGAAAAATTCATGCAGTGCAAAGGACTCATAGGAATCCATACATAGATGCAGGAAACACAAAGTGTTTGCAGCAACTTAAAAGCTCCTTTCAGGGAATCAAACTTGCCAGAGAGGTAATAGTTTGATATTCTAGTGAATTTGTAGATCTCTGTTGTGGTTAAACACAGACCTCGGGCTCATGGTTTCACTCTCTGGTCTCCTTGGAAGGCCAGCACACTTGGGTACTCCTAGAAAGGCAACCCCCTTTCCACTGAAATTGCACAGTCCAAGCCGTTGATAGAGGGTCAAAGTAGTACATCACTTAACCATCTTGTGTTTATTCCTTCACTAGTCTCCAGCTGCAAGAATCATATGGATCTTTTCCCATGAGGAACACAGCTCAGGAAAGACCCATCTTTTTTTTCCTAAGATGGCCAGACCTTTTTTTAAATAATTTTTTTTTCCAATTACATGTAAAGTTTTCAACATTCACTTTTGTAAGTTTTTAAGTTCCATATTTTTTTCTTCCTCCCCTTCCCCGTTCCTTAAGACAGTGTGCAATCTGATATAGGTTATATATGTACAATCACATTAAACATTTCCACGTTACTTATGTTGTGAAAGAAGAATCAAAACAAAAGAGAAACCCGAGAGAAAGAAAAAAAAATGTGAAAATGGTCTGCTTCGATCTGCATTCAGTCTCCATAGTTCTTTCTCTGGCTGTGGATTGCATTTTCCATCATAAGTCTTTTGGAATTGTCTTAGATCATTGCATTGCTGAGAAGAGCCAAGTCTATCAAAGTCAGTCATCAAACAGCGTGGCTGTTACTGTGTACGATGATACACGTTCTGGTTCTGCTCACTTCATTCAGTGTCAGCCCGTACTAGTCTTTCCAGGTTTTTCTGAAATATGCCTGATCATCATTCCTTATAGCATAATAGTATTCCATTACATTCGTGAACCACAACTTGTTCAGCCATTCACCAGTTGTTAGGCATCCCCTCAATTTCTAATTCTTTGCCACTACAAAGAGTTGCTATAAACATTTTTGCACACCTGGGTCCTTTTCCCTTTTTTATGATCTCTTTAGTATACAGACTTGGTAGTGGTATTGCTGGATGGGAGTATGCACAATTTTATGGCTCTTTGAGCATAGTTCCAAATTGCTCTCCAAAATGGCTGGATCAGCTCACAACTCCACCAATAAGGCATTAGTGTTCCAACTTTCTTACATCTTTTCCAACATCCATCATTTTCCTTTTCTGCCATATTAGCCAATCTGATAGGTGTGAGGTGTTACCTCAAAATTGTTTTAATTTGATTTCTCTAATCAATAGTGATTTAGAGCATTTTTTTATATGACTATAGATAACTTTAATTCCTTCATCTGAAAGCTTCCTGTTCATATCCTTTGACCATTTATCAGTTGGGGAATGAGATCCCTGAACTTTTTAAAAATTAAGATCTTCATTTAGCAAAACTATTTTCTCTCCAACCTCTCCCTCCCCATCGAAAAAGGAAGAAAAACAAACCCTTGTAACAAATATGTAGGGTCAAGCAAAACAAATTTCCATGATGGCCACGTCCAAAAAATCTGTGTCTCAGTGTGCCCACTGAGACCATCCATTGCCTGTCTGTCAGGAGGTGGGTAGTGTGTGTCCTTGTGAGTCCTCTGGAGTCATGGTTACTCACACTGATCAGAGTTCTTTAAGTCTTTCAAAGTCGTTTATATTGTTATTATTGTATTGAATTGTTCTCCTGATCATGCTCACTTCACTCTGAATCAGTTCATTTAAATTTTTTTCCAGTTTCCCCTGAAACTGTCCCCTTCATTTTTTTAACTACACAGTAATATTAAATTACATTTATATACTGTAATTTGTTCAGCCATTCTCCAACTGATGGACATCCCCTTAGTTTCCTGTTCTTTATCACCTCAAAAAAAAAGTTGTTATAAATATTTTTGTGCCTATGGGTCCTTTTCCTTTTTGATCTGTCTTGGGGGAGGGTATAGAACTGGTAGTGGTATTGCTGGGTTAAAGGTTATGCACATTTTAGTATCTTTTGGGGGCATGGTTCCATATTGCTTTCCTAAATGACTGGACCTTTTCACCACTTCACCAAATAGTACACTAAAGTACCTGCTTTCCCATACCCACTTCAGCATTTGCTATTTTCCCTTTTCATTAACTTTGCCAATCTGATGTGTGTAATAGTACCTCATAGATGCTTTAATTTTACTTTCCCTAATTACTATTGATTTTGAGCTTTTTTTATTATTGATATTGATAGCTTGGATTATTCCTTTGACATCTGCCAGTTCATATCCTTTGCCTGGAGCAGCTAGGTGGTACAGTTAATAGAGCATCAGCCCTGGAGTCAGGGGGGCCTGAGTTCAAATATGACCTCAGACTCTAGCTATGTGACCCTGGGCACATCACTTAACTCTGTTTGCTTCAGTTTCCTCACCTCTAAAATGAGCTGGAGAAAGAAATAGCAAACCACTCCAGATAACCTCAAAAGGGGTCACAAAGAGTAAAAGACAACAATCTTTTGAATATTTATTTTGAGGAATGGCTCTTAGTCATAAATTTGAATCAGTTCTTTTTATGTCTTGAAAATGAGATCTTTTTTAGAGAAACTTTCTGAAAGATTTTTTTTTTTTTTGCTTTTTGGTAAGACAGTCGGGGTTAAGTGACTTGCCCAGGGTCACCCAGCTAGTAAGTGTCAAGTGTCTGAGGCTGGATATGAACTCAGGTCCTCCTGACTCCAAGGCCAGAGCTCTATCCACTGCACCACCTAGCTGCCCCGTGAAAGATTTTAGCCAATTATCTGCTGCCCTTCTAATTGTAGCTGTATTGATTTTGTTTGTGCAAGATCTTTTAAATTTCTATATTATTGAAATCGTCCTTTTTATCTTCTATCATCTTGTTACCTAGCCTTGCTTCCGTCTTCTGTAATTTTTTTTTTCAAAAGAAGAAATCCAGGCTATCAGTAGCTGTTTGAAAATATAGAGACGTTAGGGTCAGCTAGGTGGCATGATGGATAGAGCACTGCCCTGGATTCGGGAGGACCTGAGTTCAAATCCAGCCTTAGACACATAATTCTTCCTAGCTGTGTGACTCTGGGCAGGTCACTTAACCCCATTGCCTAGCCAGGAAAAAAAAATAGACATGCAAGTTAAAGCATTCTGAGATTCTACCTCATACCCATTAAATTAGCACAGAACCTGGCATACAGTTAGTACTTAATAAATGCTTGTTGCCTTGCCCCTCTATCATCCCTAAACTTTTGAATTGGAGGTTCATTCTATGGTTAAAGGCTGGATCAGGCTGCTGGGGAAGTTAAGATTCCTGATCCATTCCTCTATAAAGCAGGCTCTGACTCAAGAACATTGCCCATGAATTCCCCTCTTGGGTCAAGTAGGCAAGCCTGTATCTACCATTGTTATATGTTTCTGTAAGATGATCCATTATTGCCTCAGCTACTTCCACTTCTCAGGCTAGGAAAACCACTCTCAGATATCTGGGTTTTGACTTGTGCTCAAAAAGCCACAGGTAGGTAAGTGTGTGTAACTCCAATGAGCTCCCCCAAAGCATGCAGTAATGCTGTCACCCTGACCCCTGCCTTGCCCAGGGGGAAGGAAGAGATTGTGCACATTTACTGACTTCTCCCCCAGCCACAACTGCCAAACTCAGGAAACATATTCTGCTGATCACAACCCTTCTGTATCTCATCCTGTGGAAATCTTGTGTATATCCTTCCAGAATAGCTCTACAGAGGCTCTATCTAATGTGCTGAAAGTCTTTCTCTACTTCTAAAAAAGTGGGTACATTTCATTTTTACATCATCTAAGCTTCCTTCCCAATCCATCCCCCTTATTCCTCCCAGAGGTCCATCACTCGTAAAACAAAAAATTCAGCAAAACTGATCAAGATTAAAAAAAAAAATCTGACGTTACGTGGATTGTTCCATACCCATTGACACTGACCTCTGTAAAGGAGCAGGAGAGGCTTTCTGTCTCTTCTTTGGGGCTAAGCTTATGGTTGGGGCAGCTGGGTGGCAGAGTGGACAGAATGCCAGGCCTGGAATCAGGAAGGCTCATCTTCCTGAATTCAAATCCAGCCTTGGACACTAGCTGTGTGACCCTGGGCAAGTCACTTCACCCTGTCTACTTCGGTTTCCTAATCTATAAAATGAGCTAGAGAAGGAAATGGCCAACCACTCCAGTATCTTTGCCAAGAAAACCCCAAATGGGATCACAGAGAGTCAAAGGTGACTGAACAACAGCTTTTATAACTCTACAACATCCCAGTTTTGATTGTTTTGTGACTGTTTTTCTTTTCATTGAAATTGGTGTGGCCATTGTGTGTATTGTTTTCTTGGCTTAACTGACTTCATTTAGCTTCGGTTCGTGTGAGTCCATGTTTTTCCACATTTATTATGCTTGCTTTTTCTGTCTGCCCCATAGTATTCCAGTATATTCATGTGCCCCAGTCTGTTTAGTCATTCCCCAACTGATGGGCATCTACTGTGTTTCCAGTTCTTTGTTCACACACACACACACACACACACACACACACACACACACACACACAGCCTTTCTTTTTTGTCAGGGACCTCCTGAGGGTGTTTGACTAACAGCAGGGTATGGATGTTTTGGTTACTCTAGACCTTTTAATATTTCATGGGCACTCCGCCTTTCCATCTGTTATTCTCTGCATTCACTATATGACCATCTCATTTCCTTTTTTTTTGGTTAACATTACTTTTTGTGTACAATTATCATTAGTGCCTAAAACAGGAAATGTGACAACGTTCAAAGATCATCACAGCACCTCTCCCCAACAGTTCGCTCTATGAACAAGAATGACA